TCAGCATCTGAACGAGTGCTCTGGGGGATAAACTAGCGATTGCTGGGTAACTCTGGCTACTCTGTCTCTAAAGGATTGTGCGTGGCCCTGGATGATGGGGCCCTTGGAATGAGATACACTTCATACACTTCGGAGGTGGGGTTGTTTTCCCCCCCTTTTATTTTTGTATGAGGATTCCCCTATATATCTCACCACGTTATCCTAGTAAGATTGCAGTTTCACACAAATGCATAAAGGAATCAATAAATACTATTCAAGTGGGAGATAATTCTCACTAAAAGTTCAAGAATGACACAGGTCTAGTTAGACTTTTCTAATAAGTTAAGGGACATAACCATAGTGACAAAGAATGAAAGTAGAAGATTGAGGTTTTGGATGACCAAAGATTTCTAAAACTAAGCTATGCTGTCCTGTCTGTTTAAATCTGAAGCCGTTGGGAGAAAAAGAATATAAAGATAAATGGACTTTGCATTTAAAGGCAGATTTTCTCCCTCAGTAGAGACAGAACTATTTTAAGCTGTTGAGAAACCAAGCATCAACAGGGCCACGAACTGCTGACCTGGATTTGTTGGGTTGGGCTTCTCTCTGCTTCCCTGCATGCTCTCCTTTTTCTACCTGAGTTCTGCTTTCCTCCTGCTCTTCTGCTTACTTGGGAACTGGCTGAAGCATCCGACTTAAACGCGAACGTAAACAGTTTCTCTGCCCCTGGGCTAGGGCAACAATGCTCTGAGGGAACTTTGTCATCTTTCTGGAAGCAGGATGTACTAGATGCATAATATAAATCAGGATAAGACGAGAGGTACCACAAAGAAGTCAGGCTGAGTCTGTTAGAGCCAAATGAAGGATTTTAAACGAAGGAACGCTTAGCCCAAAGCCAGGAGATTTTTGTAACCTGCAGTATATATGTGAAGGGATGAAGTTAACTTGGTTTGTGGATTTGACTCACTGCATATTTTAGATAAATTCACAATGTGAAGATGTGCAAATCTAATAGTTCAGGATTTTCTTCCAGGTGGAATTGTTGCCTTAGTTTCGTAGACTAACCTCGGGGTAGCAGTGGGATGCTGTGTTATCAGTTGGCTTCATGCCTCTCTGTTAAGAGGACTTTAGCATTGTGGCTACAGACCAGCCACTAGATGGCGCAGTACCTCTGTACTTGGCTGGTCCCTTGGCAGCCCAATAGAAAAAAATCCACTGGGAGGTGGTATGGTGCTGGGATTCCAGAACTCATCTTGGCAAATTCATTTACCAGTTTTCCAGATTTACAATCCCTTGGTCCATTCTATGTTATGAAGACCAAGATAATGTATCGATTTTCTTCTAAAACCTATTCCGTTATGCTAAATGGACATTTAAAAAGCCACAGAACCGTCTAAAAGCATCTAGTTCACACTAAGACCCAACAGCAGGAGTGACAAATACTGTTAACTCAAGCATTACATGTAATGACATCACACTAGTGATCACACACAGACAAAAATTTAAACAATTTATTTCTTAAATTTACTTGAAAGATTAGAGCTGATACATAACGTTTACAATAACGTTTAGAGTTATGTTAACATAAGACCGATAGCTACGGTAACAATTAGCACATGCAACTCACTACAGAGGTAAAAATACAATACTCTCTCTAGACAAACCTATATGAAGTAGACGGGGAGGTAAAATAGCAAGTGAACTTCAAAGGATTGCACTTACAAGTAAAAGGTACATAGCTAGGATATAAACAGGATACACACCTAATGCTAATCACTGTACTGTAGTACTAGCAAATTGCACACTTATTTAGAGTATACTCAGTAACATATGAGACTAAAGAATTTTCAAATATCTGCCTTTAAAATATCCCTTTGACATCACATTTTGGTATTCATGTTACAGCATTTGAAACATGTAGTTACCATTCAAAGCTTGTCTCTAAGGGATAAAAGATCTAGAACATCTAGCTATCTCCATTGGTCTTCAATGCATTTTCATCATACTCAAGGGTAAAGCACTGGGTAATGAAGTTAAATAACTAATCCACTTGAAGGAGATGCTGACTGCAAAAAGCTCTTAAAAATTTAGGAAAAAATGGACAACAGTAGAGCACACACCAAGTTGCCTTCTTTTTCTTTTGAATGCAATGTATACTAGAATATCATGCTAATGCATATTAGTAGCACATACGACAAAAAAAAAAGATTAATCGAAAAGATAGTACATTTGGCTCTGGAAAGTTTGACTTACATCTCAATTGTTTATAAGTATTCTGAAAAGGAACTGCTGTCAAAAGACTGTTTGAAAGAAGAACTAGCTGTAAGTTGCTAGTTTATACCATCTTTGAAATCCATGAGAATGACCAAATTTATTATTTTTTAAAACTTATTTTTTTTAGTAATATCTACACCCAAGGTGGGGCTTGAGCCCATGACCCTGAGATCAAGAGTCACATGCCCTTCCAACTGAGCCAGCCAGGCACCCTGACAATCACCAATTCTACATTAAACATAAACACTTGCCATTTGACGGCTCCACATTCTCAATATACAGAAAAGTGCAATGAATTTTTAAAAGCAATCTTACTTAGGCAACAGAATTGAACATGACCTGCAACAGAAAGCTACCCCAGTTAACTTTTAGCAATTGAATTTAAAAAATGTTATATAGCTTATTACGTTGATATATTACCCATTTCAACAAAACGTTAAGTATATGGTTTAAAAATTTCTTCTTAAAACCAAACATAGGAAAATGATGTAGAATATAACAGAATGGAGGAAGAGCTCTCCTATTTGATTTATACTTGGTCAATACATGCCAATTAACAAATTTTAGAGAATTGTATGGTATTATCCTACGTGTTACTAGTTAACCCTGTGGATAGAAAAAAGACATTAAAAATTTTTTTTTGATTTCTACTTACGAAACTAAGATGTTCTACTTAAAGGATGAGCCTTCATAAATAAATGTTTTACAAGTACATTTCTACTTCATGAACCTTGAACTTCACAGTAAGCTAGGAAGATTAGGTAACTTCATGTGTAAGGTTGAAATTAAATGAACAGCTAGGTAGAGAACTGATGTGAACACAGAACGTGTGAATGGTTCTTTTTCCCCTGCTTCTACTTACATGTTGGGTATGTTCCTGAGTGCTGACTGATCCAAGTTAAAAAAATTTTTTTTTTTTTTTTTTTTAGATTTTAATGGGTTTTAAGTTTGGGAGTTTTCCCATAGTTGCTCAGCATCATGCCTTTATAAGGGATGAGCGTAGGGTACCAAACACACCAGTAACAGTCAAACTACGATGGCAATACCTGTGGCACACATGCTTATTTTTTACTCCTCTGTGAGGCCAAGTGCATCAGAAGCAGTGCATTAGTTTTGTCCATAGAGAGGCTTTGCCAGCATTACTTTAAAGGAAATTTCTGGATACTCAAGATTTAGTGAGGATCACATCTACTAACATATATAGACTAATTTTCATAAAAACCAGATTTGTTTCTCTATGTAAAACACAATTTACATGCCTCAAAACAAATTATCTTAAAAACCTGAAGAAAACCGCACAAATTATCCTAAGACATGGCTTAGGAAAGTAATTTTGTACTTTAAACAAGTTTCATGAATGCTTCTCTCTTGGGCAAAGATGTCTATCACGTATTAGTAATCAGTTCTAGGGCTATTTCTGAATGGATTATTGGTTCAGCAACTATCCATTTAGTATGTCTATAGCGCTCTTGCACCTGGGGGCGGTGCTCAGGGCACCATGCTCTATACAAGTTTCAACAGACTTGCTTATACAGTATTCTTTCTTCAATGACTTCATTCTCATTCTCTTAGATTGTGAGTTTACATTTTATAACTGCTCCCATGCCCCCAAGTACAAACGTCACCCTAGAATTATTCGTAACACTGCTGTTTAGCATGAGGAAGGGCAGAGCTGACCATTTTTACAAATAACATGACTACTTACTTGGAGGAAATGAAAAATAAAGCTGATACATATTTCTTGACAGATTCTTAGCAAGATAAATGTAATCCTAGTTTGGATCAGGCTTTGACCAACCTAAATGGTGGTGGTGCCATTATCCTGTAGTGTGACTTTGGGGTCCCTCTGTCCCTATTTGGCTTCTCTGTGTCCAGTCTTCCTCATGTACGTCTCATCCTGTCATTCTGCCACTCTCATGTTGCCTCTACCCGGTCTCACAAAGACCATGTGTGTGAAAGCGCTCTGAAACACAGTAGGCAAGAATATGAAGGATAAGGTCTAATAAACAGAAGGTCTAATATGAACAATATTCTGAGAGTGTAGTGAGTAGAATTAAATTTCAACTGTCAATGGATACCAACTTTTCTTAGCCTTTTATTCTTGAATAACCTCTACAAAATATTTGAAGTTGTCCTGGTTTTGGTGATTTAAATATGACAGAAAACTGAAACATACTTTCTGCAAATGTACCTCCTAGCACTGGTCAGCCACTAATGATTTATGAAAATCTCTTCGTACTTCTTGTTCCTGTCTTTAGCCTGCCTCCTTGTCAAATGTGGTGGGTAGGGTATGGCAGAAATGCAAAAGTGGGGTTAAGTGCTAAACTCGAGCCTGGCTCACTTCTCTCTGGGAAGAAAAGAACTTGCAGGGAGAGGTTTAAAATCTAAATCACAATGTGGAACTAAGTAAGTTCCACTTACCTCAGAACTGGCAGATATTAAAATACTATCCCTTCATTAAGTGCCTTTATAACAGGGTATGCGCTGTGACATTTACTAACATCAACATGTACATTTTTGGATGGTGCTTTATTTTGGTAAGTAGTGCCCATGTGCTCTTCGTTTGCTTCAAACACTAGAAAAAAAAAAACAAACCTTTGAATCTTGGCCTACTTAAAAATAAAAACAAAACATTTATCTTCACCTTAAAATGTTTTAATTTAACATTGTATAAAGTGCTTCATCAACCAAATTCTCCAGCATTTTTAACAAAGGGTCAATGTTTATATATATAGAAAAATGTTAATAATTTAAGTCTTTATAAATGGCAAAGAATTTTTAAGATGGCTAACATAGTTTGGCATTCATTCCTAGCTCTTAACTGGGCACTCTGCTGAATTTGTGAATAACGACCAAAAGCAAATTTTGAAAATTTTAGATTAGGATTATATAATATTCAAAAATATTCTTAATTTGCAAAATTCACACTCGAATTCCATTTGTCTAGTAACTGGCAGCATCATTACCAATGGAAGAGAATGTCTACTACTTCCTGTGGGCGATATTATAATTAAACCCACTATTTTTTTCTCGTTGGTTTTGGTCAGACAACAGAAGCTGGGTTCATGTAATTATGCCACCTGCAGCTCTATGCTGTCAGCTGAAGTAGAGCGTCTAGATCTCACTCATCTGTTTGTCTTATCTCAGCCACTTTATTTGGTGCCTATTCTCCTTAAAATCAGTATAGCTGTACTAAATATATCACTGCTTATTATTTAAATACCCTCTGTTTTCTAGCTACCAAAACAAAGTTTTACTTTATAAATTTCAGACAAGCTTTCTGTTTTTCTTCAGTGCAAACATCCTGAAACAGCACAAAATCATTCAGCTATTCAGAGGATGAAGTCAGTTCTGTAGTGCTTGAAAGTAGAATCCCAGATATTCTGGAAGGGAAACAGCCCATGTGGGAGGGCAGTTTATTGTTGTCCTCAAGGGCAAATGATCATCTTCAGTGAGTGAAGATTATTTTTATCTGAAATAACAGATAAAATTAGCTTTAGTTTACAGGTACTGCTGAAGTTGTAACAGGACCTAGTCTTCACTGAGGCATGTAGCCACCTCGTCTGACAGTCTGCGGTAGGTAACTTTTAGGCATTCCTTCATCAACTGCAGCCTCCATCCCAACTGTTTCAAATCTCTCCACCTGTCCCTCAGTACGTGGGCCAAAAGCATCTGCTACAGAAATTTCTTGAAACATTTTCATTTGCCCAGATCCATAGGGCTGTGAAGTATCTGAAATCTGCTGTTTGAGTCTCACAAAATCTTCTTCACTGACTGATGAAACTTGCTTTGACCTTTCAAAACGTGAAATATCTGGGCTGGTTTCACGTTGACTGCAGTTTTGTTTGAAATACTGTGGCCTGAGCAGACTGCCAATACTGCTCTCTGTGTTCTCTACCAGCTGGAGCTCTTCCGGCCGCTCCTCAGAATCTAACAAGGGTTGGGTGGACTCAGATCTTGAGAAGACTTGGACCGATGGAACCTGGTGTCTGTAGCCACTGTGCACCACTGTGGAATACTGGACAGTGCCCGAAGTGTTTTGTGCAGACTCATTTTCATCGCTGCTAGAAATGCTTGGCCTAGAGGAGGACATGCATGAAGACCCTCCAATACCACTGCTGTGTCCTTCAGTACTAATTTTTTCCTTCTTGAACAGGTCCAGTGATTTCAGATCTTCTGGAAAAGGCTTCTTGTCATTTGCTGCTTCTATTTCCACAACACTTACATCAGTGAAATTACCATCTGAATACATTTGATCTTTTGAATTAAAATTATGCTAAAAAAGAAAGAAAAAATGTATTATTACCTCTGGCATATGTTCATTCAGAAACTCTGAAACATACATATATGGCAAATTCTAGTTAAAACCACAGAGAAATGCATCTCTGAAACTTCTCAGTAATTCCTATGGTGCGGAGATAAGCTGGATCACTGAGCCCTGTCAACTAGCTGAACTGCAGATACTGTGGAAATGATTCCGAGAAGCACGAATCAGACTGTATTTCACCAGAACTCCAAATTAATACTGTTCACTTTTGATAAGCTACTGGTGTACAAAGACTATTTCATTACTAAACTATGAAGCCTAGGATTACTAGGATATAAAAACTAGAAAAATCAAACTCAAATGACTTAAGTCTCATAGAAGGTAAGATTAAAATGTGTTCTATATTTTAACATTAAATTCAAGGATTATTAGAAGGTAATGAAGATCAGTCATTTCACCTTTAAGGAGGTTCAAAGAATTTAGTCTAGGTTTCTAGAAATCATTTCAACAGTATTAAACTGGTATACTGTTAAATTTGATTTTAATATCCTATATAAAATGCTTGTCTTACAACACAGTTACCACAGAGCAGTATTTATACATTAACTTTTCTATTTTGCAAGTTCAATCAAGTGCTTTTCATGTTTACTGAATAGAATAAGGAATATCAGAATATGTTGTGATAATACTTTATTATCATTTACTTTTCAATTTGGGCTCATCATCTGGTTCAACTCTATAAATGTACCCTAACATGCCCGTGTATAAACAAGTCAGAAAAATTGTATCTTACCCTAGGAGGTGTATGAGGTGACCACTGGGCAATATGACTCTTTGAAGGATCTGGAACATTAGGCCAGATATGTTTTTTAATTCTGGAGAGAAAGGAAATATAATGTCTGTAAAACCACAACTAATAAACAACGAATAGTCCCTGATTCTAAACATGAGCTTAATCTAGCATAATGAAAAACTGTTAAGTATTCAAGTTAAACTGAAATAAAATTCTGCAATAAAAAACAATTAAAAAGTTGAGCCAGGTCACAAAACCTTAGAGTACACCCCTTCCCAACAACAACAAAAAAAGCAAAAATGTTGAATTTCCAACTAAAACCACATAAAAAATTTTCACATAACTACCAGAAAAAAAATGATAAATTTCATTTTTTCACAAGAGTATTTAATATAGTTCCTAACCCAAAGTTAGAGATCCCTAAGTGTATATAAGTGTACAGGAAGTGAGTCATCTTTAGAATAAATTCAAATATAAAAATAAAAATGAGTAGTAAGATCCCGACAGACTCTCCTGTGGAAACAACTATAAAATCTAGGTTAACTTTACTGCTTTTTATATTATACCCAAACAAAAATAGCAACAACCAGTCAATGGATGAATTCCTTGAAAGAGACTGAAAGAAAATTTGAAGTAAACTAACATTCTTCCCACAAGAAAATCTCAGGCTCAAATGGTAAATTCTAGCAAACACTTAAAGAGAAATAATATGAATCCTATGTAAACTCTCCCGAAGACAGAGAAGGTAACATGTCCCCATTCATTTGATGAGGTAATCACTATTACCCTGATTTCAAAAGTAGGTGAAGACACCACAAAAACAAAAAAACACAAAAAAACCCAGTGTCACTCATAAACATAAATGCAAAAATTAAACTGAATCCAGAGAAGTCTGAGAAATGCAAGAATGGTTTAATGTGTGAAAAAAATCAATGAATAAAATTCACCATATATGTAGGAAGGAGAAAAATCGTATGATCATCACCAGATGCCAAAAAAGCATTTGCCAAAATTCAACACCCATTCATGACAAAAACTCTCAGCAAAATAGAAATATAAGAGAACTTCCTCAACTTAAAACCAACATCACATGTAATGATCAAAAACTGAACGGCTTTCTCCCTTAAAACTGGTGATAATGCAAAGTTTTACTTAACCAGTATAATAAGAAAAATAACTGAAAACAAACATCAGAATAACCATCTTTACTGGTTAGCAGCGAAAATGCTAAATCCAAAAAGGTACTAGAGTAGATGAATGTATCCACGTCTTAGTATACAAGGACAATATATTTTTTAAACTGCATTTCTATTTCTAGCAATGAACAATTAGAAAATAAAAATTTCTGAAAATGCCATTTAGAATTGTATAAAAAATATTCAGGAATAAATTTAACATAAGATGTGTAAGGTCCATCTAATGGAAACATACTGCAAAAGAAAATTAAAGCCTAAAGAGTTCTTAACATATCCCTGAACTGAAAAACATGTGACTTATGAAGATGTGAACTCATGTTCAGATTGCAGTTTTTCCCAAAATTGACCTGCAGATTCAATAAAATCTCAACAATGCACAAGACTTTTTTTTAAAAGAAATTTCCTTTTCATATAAGTATTATTATCAGCTTATCAAAGGTTCTACCCAAAATAATTTTGAAAAATAATAAATTCTAACTGCTCTCAAAACTTATTATAGAGCAGTAAAAATTAAGACAGTATGGTATTGGGATGAACAGACACATCAATGGAATAGAATTGAGAGTCCGTAAAAAAAAAACAGACTTATGTGGATAACTGATTTTGGCAAAAATAGATATCTTTAATACAATGGGGAAAAAAGTATTTTCACTAAATAAAGCTGGAACAACTAAGTAGGTATCTATGGAAAAAAAAAAATAAATGAACCTTGACCCTGACCTTATACCATGCACAAAAATTCTGAATAGACCACAGACATATGGCTACAATAATTAAAGTTCTAGAGGAAAAGAAAGGAGAACGTATTTGTGACTGACTTAGGCAAAGATTTCCTACATAGGACATAAAACAAGAATCACAAAAAAACTGATAAAATGGACTTCATCAAAATTAAAAACTTTGTTCTTCTAAAGTCACAGTGAAGAAAATGAGAAGGCAAAGCCACAAGAGCAGATTGTCCAAAACACATTTGAGAATAATTTTGTAATCAGAATATATAAAGAACTTAAAGTTCAATATTAAGGCAAACAACCCAATGTAAAAATGGGCAAGATTTCAGAAGATATATCACAAAAGAATATACAGAAATGGCACATGAAAAGATCCATTACTAGTTACTAGGGAAATGGAAATTAAAATTACAATGAAATAGCATTACACACTGATAAGGAAGTGGCTAAAATTAAAAACTGTAACAGTACCAAGAGTTGATAATATGGAACAACTGGAAGGCTCACAGAGCTGGTGAGAATTCAAGATGGTATATCTGCTTTGAAAAATAGTTTGACAGTTTCTTATAAAGTTAAATATGCACTTACTATCTGACCCAGCAATCCCACTACTAGGTATTTACACAAGACAAATGATAACATGCCCACGCAAAGATCTGTAGGTGACCATTCATGGCAACATTATTCACAATAGCCCCAATTCAAAGAAACAACCTGAACTTCTGTAACAGACGTTATCAACAAATTTTGATAAATCTATACTATAGAATACTATTCAATAAATAGAAAAATAGTATATGCAACAAGTCTCAATAACATGTGAAATGAAAGACGTTATATAAAAACACTACATATTATTTGATTCTATTTATATGAAATCCTAGAAAAGGCAAAACTACAAAGAAAGCAAATCAGTAATTACTTGGGGCCAGAGGTTGAGGGAGAGAATAGAGCATAAATCCAGGGGAAAAACTGCAAAAATAAAAATAGGGGTACTTACAGGTCTCGCTTATTAAAGCAGAACAATACTCCCAAAAGGGTTGTCAATAGGAATGCTAAGCAAACAGGGACAACTATAGCTTCAATTTCTCCTTGAGCTAAAAAACAGAAAGGGGTAAGAAGGAAAATAATGGTCAATGCATATGTTGACACAAATAATAAAACTTCCCAGCCAGAGGATTGTTGAAGAGATGAAATACCATCCTGTTTTTATAGCCTTTTCAAACTTAAATGGCTGTTTTCTCCCCTCTCCCTCTTCTTGGTAAATGATATCCTAGCCCTTTATACCTTACACTGTAACCTGGCCACAGGATGTTGGTTAGGGGAATAAAATGACTAAGTTCATTTTATTGGACAGATAATCTAGAAGTTAGAGCTCCCAAACCTAAGCATTTATTAGATTTTTTAAAAAGATTTTATTCATTTATTTGACAGAGAGAGACACAGTGAGAGAGGGAACAGAAGCAGGGGGAGTGGGAGAGGGAGAAGTCAGGCTTCCCGCTGAGCAGGGAGCCTCATGTGGGACTCGATCCCAGGATCTGGGATCATGACCTGAGCCGAAGGCAGACGCCCAATGACTGAGCCACCCAGGTGCCCAACATTTATGATCTGCCAGCAGAATCTTAACAAAAGCTTATCTTTGGGGAGAAGTGGAAAAGTTGTAAAATAATCTTAATAACTGAAATTACAAATATGATCCTCTATAAGGAATAAAAGGTTCAGGCAAAATTTTTAGTAGCTATTTACTATTTTCAAAAAGATGGCGTCAGGGCCCCTGGATGGCTCAGTTGGTTAAGTGTCCAACTCTTGATTTTGGCTCAGGTCATGATCTCAGGGCAGTAGGATCGAGCCCCAAGTCAGGCTCTGCATTTCAGCAAGGAGTCTGCTGGAGATTCTCTCTCCCTCTCTCTGCACTCCCCAACCCGTTGTGTGCTTTCAAATAAATAAATAAACCTTAAAAAAAAAAAAAAAAGATGGCATATCTGATAAACAGCTAAGAATTTATAAGAATCTTTTTTTTTTTTTTTAAAGATCTCAATTAGTTGAGAGAGAGAGAGAGGGGAGAGAGCATGAGCAGTGGGGAGGGGCAGAGGGAGAGAGAGAAGCAGATTCCCTGCTAAGCAGGGAGCAGGCAGGGCTCCATCCCAAGACTCTGGGATCATGACCTGAGCGGAAAGCAGACACTTAACTGACTGAGCCACCCAGGCGCCCCAGAATTTTTAAGAATCTTGAGTACAAGGAGTGGCGGTAGTAGGAACAGTATCACCGAATCAGTAAGCATAAGTTTTCTAAATAGCAGATGATACCTAATCTGCATTTAAAAGAGGGCTTACTTAATCAAATGAATCATTAATTGGATAGTTCATACTGGAGTTATTTTTTAATGATTTACCATATGGTTGTTTCCGGTTAACGCCTCCAGTCTCCTTCTAATTAGTCTTTTATGGGAAAACTTTTATAAAGTAATATTGCAATCATATGCTATTCACTTAGTCTAATCTTTGCACCACACATATCCCTTTGCAAGTAACTTTATTTTCTATGAAGCTTAACACAATCAGTAAGTCAGATCAATGCTCAGGAATAAAGTGTAGACTGGCAAATACTAACTCTTGTATGCTCAAGTTTCATACACATACCAAATCAAATTCAGGCAGAACATTTTCTTTACTGCTGCTAAACTTACTAGGTTTTCGTGTCTTGGGCCTTTGCTCATTCTGTCCTAAGATGCCCTCTTCCTATTTGTTCACAACCTAACCTCGAGGCTCAAGTACTGTCTCCTTTATAAAATCATCTCTAAAGATGAAACTCCCCCCTACTAATTACCTTTAAATTCCTACTCTATTTACAGCCTCCATGGCCCAAATGCCTTTCCATTCAATTACTTTACTTATGCTGTATTTCTTCAAATACACTGTAAGGTCCTTTGGGAGCAAGACCCATGCTATATTAAGAAGCCGTAATAGTTCCACAAAACAATAAACAAATGAGTGAAAAAAGCAGATGATGAAGTAAATCCTAACAAGTATGCTCTAATTTTTGGAAAAAAATGTATGCATAGATAATACCAGAAGGATATACAAATATATTAAGAGATTATTCTAGATGAGGGATTAGGAGTGGATTTTTCTTCTCTATAGAATGTTACTTTCATAATCAGGATAATATTTTAAAAGCTTTTTTTTAAGATCAACTTCAATTATTACTTGTTACATATATATTTTATTAACATGTCACCACAAATCTTATTCCAGAAACTATGTTCATTACTGGCTATCACAGCAAAGCTCAGGATCTTTTATTATCTATTTTATGTAGTTATTCATTTTCTCATTCAGTAATCATTCAATCAATAAGGAATATGTAGTTTCTATTTATCAATCACGGTGCTGGTACTTGGGGGTGGAGGTTACAAATACTTTATAATAAAATAAGGTAATTTCTATACTGATTCAAAATGTGGGAACAAGAAAGAATGTAGCTTCAGTCTGCATTAGGGAGGCTAAAGGAAGAGCCAAAACAAGGGAAGGTGAGGAGCTAACATAGGGGCTACACATTAGGAAAAGCAGAAAAAGATGGAGAAAGTCATGAGAAGCTTAGGGTCAAGGAAAGAGATTATCAAAGGGCGGGCAAAAGCAGTAATTAGAAGGCGTGATCAATAGGACTTTATACTTGGCTTATGTAAGCAAAAAAGATAGGAAGAAATTTACTATCATTATCTAAATTTCTGGCTTTGGCAAAGAGTCGGATGGTTGTGTCAGGGAAAAGAGAAATGTATTTGGGAAGGAGAGAAAGGATGGCTGAAGTCACGGACAGGTAGTGTGAATAGGTAGATAATAAAGGAGGGCTGAGAATAGAGCTCTGGAAAATACAAACCATTTTATAAAAAGAAGAGTGAACAGGAGGCCAAGAAGGAAGTACCAGAGAGGAGGAAGATTCAGGAGAGTGCTATTACAAAAAGAACTTTAGAAGAACCAAGGGAAGAAGCAGTTTCAAGGATGGAGAAGCCAACAGAGTCAAATGCTGAGAAGTACAGAGAAAAGACTAAAAAAAGCAGGCCCTGGAGATCCTAACTAAGAGGACTTCCCTGAGTGACATCAGGGAGATTTCAGTGGCGTGGTGGGCTGGATGCCTGGGTTCAGCAAGTCGAAGACTGAGCTGGAGGAACGGAAGTAAAGCCTGCAAGTGTGCACTCATCTTTCCAGCAACCTGCCTGTAAAAAGGAGGAATAAGAGGAGGAGGAAAGAGACCACACTCGATTTTTGCCAGTGAACGTATGAGCTCATTTAGAAAGATACACAAATTCTTTTGCCATTTGTAGAGTATAGATGAAGTCAGTGAGAAGCAGTTAATGAAATAACAGAGGTGAGTTTTGACAGTTTAAAGAAACCACCAAAATCAGATAAATACAAAAACCATAATTTATGAAAAATGCATTTCTATGATCCAAAGATGCATTTTTAACAAAATTTTAGATTAACTAAGCCCGTTTTTAGTCTGATTAAATTTTAAAAAGAGGGGCGCCTGGGTGGCTCAGTTGGTTGAGCGACTGCCTTCCGCTCAGGTCATGATCCTGGAGTCCCAGGATAGAGCCCCACATCGGGCTCCCTGCTCGGCGGGGAGTCTGCTTCTCCCTCTGACCCTCTTCCCTCTCGTGCTCTCTCTCATTCTCTCTCAAATAAATAAATAAAATCTAAAAATAAATAAATTTTAAAAAGAAGAAAAGAGCAAACATCATTCTTTCTTACCAAACTTTGGTGTAGTGAAAGTGAATTCTGGGCCATCCTTTCCCCCTTCATCCGTATATGCTGCCATTCGTACCATGTACAAAGTGTCACTGGTCAAAGAGGACAGTGTATATTCTGTGTGGGAAGAATCCACATTCACAGCTAGAAGAAATCATAAGTGTGGCTTATTCAACTGCTCAATGTCTCTGCTTGATTTGGCTTTTATTTGACATTGCAAAAGTATTAAAAAGGAAAAAATATATTTTTCAGAAAATAACTTTCATATCTCTGACATAATATTCTTCTCCCATAAGCACAACGCAGTTATTTCTTTAATAGGACCATGAAAACAACCATAAGGCATATTCTTCAGATGTCTCTTTTCTGATGATAATATACTCTACTAAGATATATAACTTAAGGAGGTGAGACTTAACATTTAAAAGCTTAAGAAAAAAACCAGTAATTCTTAATAACTGATAGTTTTATTACCAGTTTCATTTCCAATGATGGTTCTATAAAATATAGTATAATTCCGGATAAATCCATTCTGAACATCAACAGGAAGTTGGTCCCACTCTAAGACAGCTTCATTCTTCCCCACTTTTTTTGTCCGAACAGTAGGTCCTTTGGAAGGTGCTAGAACAGAAGTATTTGATAACTGAAAATAATTCAGTATATCACTAGAATTTACTAAAATTTATTATATTTGAACACCGTAAGACATATCCTTATTTAAAAAAGATAAAATGTCTTTGTTAATAGAAAACTCAACATATTTCAAAGAAAATGAATTTGGACTTACGAGCTTGTTTAAGGTATGCTTTTATAGACTCAGGGCTTCCTGGTCCATCAGCATATATTGGAGTAACTGTTATCAAATAACATTTGCTCTCTGCTAGGTTCCCTAAAGAAAGAATAGGAGAGTAAGCGTTTTTTTCCCCATAATAAAAAAAAAGTCTAACTCCATTATTTATTTTTACACTATAATTTCACGGTTATTGAACTTTCTTTTCAAACTGCAGCTTTTTAAAAAATTTTTTATTGTTATGTTAATCACCATACATTACATCATTAGTTTTTGATGTAGTGTTCCATGATTCACTGTTTGTGCATAACACCCAGTGCTCCATGCAGAATGTGCCCTCTTTAATACCCATCACCAGGCTAACCCATCCCCCACCCCCCTCCCCTCTAGAACCCTCAGTTTGTTTTTCAGAGTCCATCGTCTCTCATGGTTCGTCTCCCCCTCCGACTTACTCCCCTTCATTCTTCCCCTCCTGCTATCTTTTCTTTTTTCTTAACATATGTTGCATTATTTGTTTCAGAAGTACAGATCTGTGATTCAACAGTCTTGCACAATTCACAGCGCTCACCATAGCACATACCCTTCCCAATGTCTATCACCCAGCCACCCCATCCCTCCCACTCCCCACCACTCCAGCAACACTCATCAAACTGCAGCTTTTAAAGCATTGCTTTTTGTGTCCTGGATTCAAGCTTAATAGAGTAAAGCTATTTATGAAAGTAAAAGCTTACTTTTATTGCCAATATGGTGGAAATATTTATCAGTAAAAGTAATTATTATATTTATATTGAGGACTTATAAAACATTGATTTCAAATTATCCTTGGTCTTATAGCTTCAGTGTTTGTACATCTTAACTAATTCTCAGAAAACTGCCTAAAGACCCACTGGTAAGAGCTAGGGAAATGGCCCTGGTTTGTAACTGGGAAAAAAAGAATTAGTACTATTTCCCCCAAAGGGTAAAAAAAAATTTTTAAATAAAGTTATCTTGAATACCTCATTTATAATCTCTTCAAATTAACAAAGTAATCTATTCCTTTAATACACAATAGTAAATTTTTAAATCTTTTTATATAGAATTTTATCTGTCCACATCAGAAAATAAGGTATTTGTTATACTGAAGTTTATACATTCAACAAGAACTTTTATTTCCTTAACTATTACTCATAAAGTTATATATGCTCCTTTGCTTTCTTAAACAGAGTAATTTTACTTTTTCTTGATGACTCAATATTATCAAGAAGATAAATTAAGTGTTAAACTCTGCTGTAATACAGTGATGTTATCAGAACTATGAGCTATTGGGGCTCCCTGTGCAACCTGAAGGTCTCTGGAGATTATGCTATGCTTTCTTAAAAACATATCTATTGTCTAGTTACTACCAACGTGCATCTTCTCTCTAGCTCCACCTTGCTTTTGGTAAGGCTGATAAACTAACCAACCAATCTTATTAAAATTGTTTATTAAATAAGAGGTTAATGAGGGCCAAATAGCCTGTTTTATAAATAAAACAAACTTTATGGCAGATTTGTCCTTGTTTACAGCTTTTCTCTAATTAATCATATTATTCATAGCTGAATTCTAATGGTTCTCCTTCTTTACTGAAACAAAACAAAACAAAACAAAACACATACAAGCTGAGTGTTTTCTCTTTAAAGCTGTTTTATCACTTCAAAGCCACAGAGTAAGTTGTACCTTAAAACACAGGGCAATCACTATTTTGGAGCTCTACAACATCATTACTTTCTGTCCATTACAACTTCCAGTTAAAAGACATAAGGAAATCTGAGTTCTAATTCTGCTTCCCCTATTCAACAGCTTTAAGAGTTTAACAAGTCATTCAGATGCTACAGGAAAATATTTTCTCATTGCAGGATGAGGAGTTAAATCAGGTATAGAAAAAATGCAACTAATTACAAGCAGAGGTCATATTATCTTATAGTTCTCTTTACAGTTATATATGTGTTCCTTTGAGATCAAAACACTTAACTCTAAAGAGAAGATACTATTAGACCCACTTTGTCAATAAACAGACCCTGCAATTGAATGAGGTTATATGTGACTTGGTGAGAGTCACACATCTGGCAAATCACACATCTGGCAAACTAGATGTAACTAGTAACTGATAAACTGAAAATCTCTTCAGGGGACCACAACATCTGTAAAGCACACAAAAATATGTAAAAGAAAAATCTGTCTAAAGGATATCAACTTAAAATTTTTTCTAGCCAGGTATACCTCTTAAATAGGTGCGGTGTACAGTACCATCTTCTTGTTGCCAGTCTGGGATACAGGGCGATTTATCTGATAATACACACCACTCAAGTACGTATTTGTTTACAGATTCATTTGGAGCAGTCCATTCTACCCAAAGCATATTATCTTTGGGAAATGCTTTAAGATCCGTTACAGGGCGAGTAGCTTTAAAACAAAGTTTGAATACTGATATGATAAATGAACATTAAAAAAACTTGAAATTTTGATATTTTACATTTCCATAACCAGTTTTTGTAGCGCATATTAATATGTATTTCCATTTACAATTTATTTTGAAACTAAAATTCTTCAAATGTTTTCTATATATAAATGGCATTTTTCTTCTTTGAAAGCAATGAACAATATATTTAAGTCATATTCATCTATGGTTCCCAGAGCCTTAATATTTAAAAAACCAGGTAAGCAATCAGAAAAGGCCGAAATGAATTAAGCAGTTTACTCCAAAGTTTATTTAAGTGAGCCACATAATAATGGAACAAATTATTTGGCTGTTGACTTAGAATAATTATGTACTATGCCTCAGAATATCTTCTACATGAGGAACCACCTTTTCCCATCCGTAAGTCGACTCCATCTCACAGACACAAACCTTGAAAATCATAAGCAGGAATAGTTAAAACAGCTGCATCTGATTTGCCGACCAGATTTCTTGCTGTCAGAGTTGCTATGTAACGATCATTTGTGATGTTTACTGTCCATTTTGTGTCATTAACTGTGTAATTCCGTAAACGTGATTTCCATCTTGTGAGAGTCACTTCATAATCCAAAATTTTTCCATTGGCTTCAAAAGGAGGTAATGTCTATAATAAAATAGTTTATTTTAAAAATGTATTTAATAAAAGTTAATCAGTTTTCTCCATGTTCACAAATTCTGCTGTTATGTCAAACCTCTAAATGTTTAACTGAAAGGTCCTGGCAACCTCATTTACAAGTCAGTACCTTAAGTAGAACTACTACATAGTAAATGAAGAGTAAACTCATGACTCTGACTAGGAGGGAAAGTAGCACTATTTCGTTAGCTTTTAGTTCTGTATAGTACCTGCACTGTGGCTATCTGGCCCTAAATTATATTTTATGCCTGAGTATTTTTCTATTTTTTTTTTTTTTAGTATGATATGCCTGCAGACTTATGGAGTTGACAATAATTTTGTACTTCCTATTATTGGCATACATTTTGATTACTCAAAACCTTTTTAATTTTTTTTAAAGATTTTATTTATTTGACCTAGAGAGCACAAGCAGAGGGAGAGAGAGGGAGAAGCAGGCTCCCTGCTGAGCAAGGAGCCCGATGTGGGACTCGATCCCAGGACCCTGGGATCATGACCTGGGCCGAAGGCAGCCGCTTAACCGACTGAGCCACCCAGGTGTCCCTACTCAAAACCTTTAATAATTATTTTCTATGAGGCACTCAGGAAAGTTCAGTGACAGATAAGATCCTTCTCATAGAACTTTAAATGGAATTGTGATGAAGTATTTATGAGATAAAACCTGCAGCTCATGACCCTTTTATGTAGTATATACAAAGCTTTGTGTTTCTATTTATCAAATGTTTTCCTGATATTAAGATGAATAAAAATTTAAGTTAAAAAACTACACTCACAATGCCATATAAAATGTACTTATGTTAAGTGATAAAAGAACTTAAACATGCAATTTTTTACCTTCCATATGAGTTGTACAGATCTATAGCCATGAGTATGGGATGGCTCTATCTTATACCAGAAACTTGGTGCCTTGGATGGTCCTAAAGAAATGACATAAACTTTTTAAAATAAAATTTTTTAACAATAAAATATAATCCTGGAAATTATTCTCTTCCTTTGTTCTTAATATTCTTGCCCTTCAGTCACTGTTTAAACTATCATTTGCCCCACCCTAGCATGCTATGCCTGGGTCTTCCTTTAGTCAGGATGAAGCTTGATAATTTAGATTATATCGGGATACTTTTCTAATCTTTAAATTGTAAAGCTACAAACATATCCTAAGGTATAACCAAAGATGGATCACCATTTCTTACTGCTAAAAATCAAACTGAAAAATTTTATTTAAATATATACTTAAAACTCCTAAATGTATGTAAGAATATAAAACAAAATAAATGGGAGTAAATGTGGGCTAAGTTTATTACCTTATGTTAGGATGACTGTTGACAGGATATAATAAAAATGAATTCACAGTGTTGTTATCATAATCACCAACAATGTGAAAAATGAAAATCCACTTTATAAAACCAAGTATCAAATGCTATTAGGTTTTATAAATTCCTATGGAATCAACTGATGTTTCAAAATTTTTGTTAAGTGCAATTATAAGATATGGTTCAAGAGAATAAAAAGGGATCTGAATAAAATCTAAGCAGTGATATGATGATTATAAAGAGGGATTACAGAGAACAAAAGAGAGAAAAGAAAGAGGCAAGACTGGGGACAAGGCTGCCCGTATAGGGGGTTCAAAGAGATACACATACATGAGTATACAAAATAAAGACAAAGAAACTATAATGAAAAGTTACAGGCCAGAAAGACTTCCTAACATAAAAAGAACCTAGAGGAATCATTCATTAAGTTGAAGAAATGCTTAATCTAATGGTTCATAATTTTCCAGGTATCTTTCTGACAAAGGTTATGTACCATCTCCCCAGAAAACGTACACAGGCACTAATGATAATATTTCGCCCACACTTGAAGTAGTTCAGGAACCACCCTCCTCTTGCCTCCCTTCTGCAACTGACCCACCAGCTTGGAAGGCCCCAAGGATCCCAGTTTAAGAATTCCTGGCCAAGACAAAGAAATCCAGTTGAAGACCCCCAAATCAGCAAGAGCAGAATTGCTTTCTTTCATGTCATTTATGAGAATAAGAGAAAATTCTTAGTGGAGAAAGGTAGTTCACTTTTCTGCCTCTCTCATTTCACTATCTAAACCTCTGGTGGAGCTGGAAGTGAAGGGGTAGAGGTGGTACAGGAGGTTTTAAAGCCAGAGCTGTTGCCATTGACACCTGAAGGGTGAAACTATGGAAGAAAACTGTTCAAAAAGAAAAATCTGTATGCTACAGGACTATTTCTTGACTACTACAAAAGAAATTACTGATGTTAACTGCTATGGGCAGGGATCTTACCTTGGACCCCATATACCCTTTTATGAATTTTGGATTCTGTACTATATGCCCTAAATGTTCGTGGGGGGAAAAAAGGAAAATGAAAATAAACCAAAACTCCAGGATTCTTTTCCAGGGGTTTATTAAGTGCTGGTAGAAACAAACAAATAATAGGACAAACATTATTTCTGACAGTGAGGGACTATGGTATATTTTGTTAGTATCATTTTAATGAGTCGGGATATGATTCTGTAGGAATATCTCTGAACCACTGTCCTTTAATAAAATGTTCTGGACTTAACTGTTAGGTCAGTGGTTTTCTCTTGGTCATTCCATAATTTTATTAGGAATCAAATAGATTTATACCATCAATAATGCACACTTTATATCCTGATGTCCTTAAAGAGAATAAAAGTATAAAATACAAGTTTGAATAAAATGGTCACAAAATAAGAAGGAACGAGGTCTATATTATTAAAACCAGACACAATTCATAGCCGTAATTCCAAAACCTTCCTCATATATCTTAGTTACTCACTATCTTCATATGTAATACCACTTGCTTCTTCACTCCAGTCACTCCAGAATCCTTTACCATCTTCCTTCATACAACGAATCCTAAACACATATTCTGTAAAAGGTTTAAGGTCCTGGACAGTGAATGAAGATCGGGTGGATGCTGTATCTTCAGGAGGAATCTGAAATCAAAGCAGATCAACCAATAAAAAACCCGATGGTATTTACTTTAACTGTCCTAAATTCTCCAAGATTTTGGAAACTGATTTAATGAAACAAGACTAATAAATTAAGCTCTGGAGAGATATAAATGCAAATCAAAAAGCAGTCTAAGTTAATGAAGTAAATAGATTTGGGAAGTATGGAAAACATCTATTATTAATCCTTCATTTATTTTTATTTTTTTCTTCCATGGGGCCTGTAACCCCTAGGGTCTCAGCAGGAAAAAAATGGTATACTCCAAGTAGAATTTAATTCAAGAAGGGTTTATACAAAAGGAAGTATGGGCTGAGTGTAGGGAAACCTTAGATAGTGGTCATTACTCAGGGGCTTGTAGCTGTTACTACCCCTAGGCCAAAAGGGATGAGGGGAGGTACCAGAAACTGGGAGAAGAGGCTCAGAAGGGGTTAATTTGAGAGGAGCAGTGACCTTAGGCTGAGAGACATGGGCAGCTCCAGGGAGGAAGGAGGGAAAATAAGTAATGCTGATCTCACTTGTCCCTCTTGCCAGACCCCCTGCTCCCATTAACCACATTCACTAGGAAACCAGAGAGAATGTGAACCCACAGATGAAATCCATACAGGTCAGCATTCCAAGACAAAGAGTAGAGTAGAGCAGAGCAGAGTGCAGCTCTCGATAGGAAAAAGGAATCCAGCTCAATCAAGAAAAACAAAAGGTATCATTGTATACAAACTTGGTTTTCAGGAAAAGAGAGAATATAAATAACTGATTCTACTACTCTGAGATTTCAATATTGAATACAAAGTAGGTGTCAATTTTTTTTGTTATCAATGAATTAAGAGTCTATGATATCAAAAAACTATTCTGAAGTTCAGGTATGTATCCTCTCTGTACAACATGAAGCAGGAATCCATTTTCATTTGTTGCTTTTTCTAACTTTATTTTGAGCAGCCCTTCAGATAAGTGGAATGGAGAGCAGAAGTATTAAGATCATGGGCTCAAATCCCTTATGAGCTCATTACTGCAACAAGAAAAAGCAAAAGCATAGTGTTTGTGCCAAATGAAATTATAACAAAGAATATTTTGTGGAGCGCAAAGCTATGGTGTTGGTCTTTTTAAAAGTTCTAAGTACTTCTTTTGGTGACAGCATCATCTCTGGATATACATGTTCTGTTCCTTTTCAGTCTTGTAAGTTCCCCAACAACTCCTTCCTCTACTAAGAAGTTGACATGCTTTCTAAAAAAAGGCTAGATAGTAAATATTTTAGGCTGTGAGCCAGATAGTCTCTGTTCCAACTACTCAACTTGCCCACTGCAGCACAAAATAGCCAAAGACAATAAAAAACAAAAAAACAAAAAACCGAGTGTGGCTGTGTTCCAATAAAACTTTATTTATAGAGACAGATGGCAGGCTGAAATTGGCCTGCAGATTTAGTTTGCCAACCCCTGCTCTACCTTAGCCAAATAATCTCTTCATGTACTCCCCACTTAATTTGCTTATTTTTTGTGTTCCTTTCACCTCCCATCAAAAATACTAGTCCTTATCACCTGGTATCACTTCCATACTTCACTTAAAAGCTACTGCACTCAGCAAAACTGTATTTTCTATCTGAATGTCTTCCTGTTTGCCCTTGCATGAAATACAGATCAAGAAGATGTGTCAAGCAAAATATTTCATATAACCACCACCTTAGGATATTGAGACTTTCAGGTTAGAGGGTTGTAAGACTTTTTGCATAAACAGTAACTTGCAATTTACCTGGCTCCAAATTGAGGCATCTCTGGTCTTATATTGAATGTTATACTTCAGTCTTATAAAACCCTGAATACTTGAGTTGATCCATGTCAATTTTAAGATACTGGAAAGTTCCTCTGAGTTGCTTACGGATAAATTATGTGGCGGATTGGGCTTCACTGAAGAATAAAATAAATCCGAATGTTTATCATGGTTTATTTTTACAACTTCTTATACAAACTCAAACATACTACTTATATTTTATTTCACATTATTTATTTATTCTTACCAAATGAACTAATTTTTTTGAAAACAATGTGCTGTCATACTATTATATTGGAGAGAAAAGTTTTCTAAAGAAATTTTAGTTTTCTCTGTCAAGTTATTGTATGCTTGTTCATCTTTTTAGGTTCAGTTATCAAAAGACAAATATTTATGATATAAGAAAAAGACAATTAAAAAAACGTGTACTATAATTGCTATGTTGTAAAATGTTTGATAATTGCATAAATACTAGCAGATAACATTCAAAGTGAAAACCACTGTAGTATAGTTGGATTATTAAGATTTTTCCAGATTATTTTTAATGTTGATAAAATAAATTTGTAAAAATCACTAAAATGATTATTTCTGTATTAATTAAAATCTAAAAACTAAATTAATAAGCCACTGCATATATCCTAATAAATTCTCAAATTCAGGTTTATAACTACCTTTATCTACAGGATCAAAATTTATATGATCTGATGTAACCTTCCCAAGAGCATTCTCTGCTTCTACCCAGACTTCAATGTTGACAAAATACACAGGAGAATAATCAACAGTACATGAGGTGGGAGTATCACGTTTTGTTTTACAATCAGCAAACTTCTCTGTTGCCCTAAATACAAAAATGGAAGAATCGGTCATTAAAAACAGATTTTAAAAAATTAGAGTAAAAAAGGTTACTTGAGGAGACCCAGATTGTCACAGCTTAAAATAAAATTTCTTAAAAACTATCATGCTTTCCTTTAAAACTGAGTTTGATCTATATCTTAAAACATATTATTTTCAAATTTTTACTCCAAGAACATTACATTTAGAATACTATACTCTATCCCCAATGACCCTTCTCCAAAAATAATTTCCTGTGATCTTCTTTCCATTCCTGAAACAGAATCCTTCCTGTACCTGCAATGTCCTTCTTTAAGCACAGTATGATTTTTCTAAGCACAATATGCTAGGAGGTGACAGGAGGACAGGGATAAGTATTTCTGTCAACCCCAGAAAATCCCCTTAGCCTCTGTCCAGTCAAACCCAGGTAAACACTTTCTGATTTCTATCACCAAAAAAGTTTCAAGTGGATAATACTATTTACTCACTTATATTTAAATTATGCATTAATTAAAAAGACATATACACACACACATTTTTGTAAAATAAAAGAGTAAGTCAAAACCACAACAAAACAGGTAACTTTTATGAATTACTATGATGTATACCTGAAACAAACAGGATACTGTATATCAATTATATCTCACTTTAAAAATTCCTAAAACTCAAAAGCAAAATGAAAACATGAACTCTTGTATTGAGTTGGTGCTGTAACACACAGAAAACTATTTTAAGTGTCTTTTTTTGTTTAAAGCTTTTATTCATTTACTTGACAGAGAGAGAGAGAGAGAGACAGAGTAGAATCAGGGGGAGCGGGAGAGGGAGAAGCAGGCTCCTTGCTGGGCAAGGAGCCTGATTCAGAGCTCGGTTTGGAGCCCAGGATCATGAACTGAGCCGAAGGCAGACGCTGAACCGACTGCACCACGCAGGCGGCCCCTTTAAGTAGCTTTAAAATTTAAGTAGCTTTTTAAAACAGTAATTTAACTATATCCTTAGTGAAGAAAAACAATCTTAAAATTCTTTTTAGTATTCACATTGTTGGTACTGATACCGGCATTGCTATTCTGCAGCTGTTATGCTTACTGAGATAAAGCAAATGAGTTATTATATTGGTGCTGCTACAGACCAAGGTTTTCAGCACAGAAGAAAGATGTAGATGTTAGATGGATGAAATTAAGTAAAAACAGGTAGTCCAGATTTTAAACTGGAAATTACAATATTAGCGCATGATGTATTTTACCTTAAAAACATTTCCTAGCTGTTTCTGCTGTAAAAGCCTAGAAATAAGAAGCTCCCCTAGCACCCAGACTGTAGTCTCTAAACAGTAGTTCCTACTAAATGGAACCATGGCTATATGGGAAATGGCTGATTCTAGATCTGGGGCAGGACATATATACGAAGGTGAATCTGGAAAATCACGTCATATCAGAAAGGAAGGAAGCTGTCCAAGACTAATGAATGAAGTCAAAAGGAAGAGCCAACCTGAGTCTAAGTTCCTACTAACCAAGGATGGGACAACATAAGTATCAATGGACTGAAACACATCAAATATGTTTCAATATGAATTCATAATGAAGGGAAAAACCCCTCATCCTTTGGAGGATGCTAGAGAACTAACTCTTTATAAAATTGGTTAGAAAGGGAAAACATTAATACCATTTTGCTTCTCTATATGAACTGTCCCTCAGGGTAACCAACAGTTCAAAGTTTTAAGTATATCAGGTTTTAAAAAAAAGAATACCACTATTTTGTACCTCATGTACAAATAATGATCGCTGATGGCTCAAACCTTTAAATGAAAAACTAATGGGACGCAACATGGTTAAATTCCCAAAACATTCTGCTGAGTCATAACCTTTCACAGAAGAGGACATATTGTATCATTACATTTACATGACATTCAGAACAAGCAAAACTTTATAGTGAAGAAAATCATTTCAGTAGTTGCCTTGTGGGATGGGGTGAGATAGGGTGGTGGATAGGACTGACTGGGCAGGAGCAGAAGTGAACTTTCTGGGGGTATGAGTAATGTTTTATATCTTGATAAGGGTCTGAGTTACATAACTGTACTAGTCAAAAGGCATTGACTGATACACAAGGTATCTAAGTATATTTAAAGATGCACATAAATTCTAATTACATCTAATTAATAATGTAAACACTGAGGTGTTTAAGGGTGACGTATACTAATGCCTGCAAGTCACTTTCAAATACATAAATAAAAGATGGACAGGTGAAGAGAAGGATGCAGAGATAAACATATATGTGATAAAGCAAACACAGTAAAATGTTAATTGTAGGAGCTAGGTGATGGGTCTGTATAAGCATTCACTGCGAAGTTCCTCCAGCTTTTATATGATAAAAACTGCTGGTAAGAACTGTTTTAGATCAATTTGTACTAGTGTATGCAGAGTGTGTCAGTCATGTCAAAGCCAAGTCCAAAAAACAAAAACCTATCTTTGAAAAACAAAAAAAAGGAAATTTTATAACAAATGTATCAAGCTGACAGCACCTGAAACCACCTCTCAATCTTAGTATCAGAAAAACAAAAGCTCTCAACCAAAAGATTTGTTAGATCTAATGGATGAATTCAGTAAAGTTGCACAATACAAAATTAAAATACAAAAATCAGTAGTGCTTCTATACACTTACAATGAATTTTCTGAAAAAGAAATCTATCCCACTTACAACAGCATCAAGAACTATAAAATAGGAATAAATTTAACTAGGAAGGTAAAAGACCTCTACTCTGAAAACTACAAGACACTGATGAAAGAAATCAAAGACACAATAAATGTGCTCACGAATTCAAAGAACGAATACCGTTAAAACATCACAAAAGCCATCTATAGATTCAATGCAATCCTTATCAAGCTTCCAATGGCAATTTTTTACAAAAGTAGAGAAAAACACTCCTAAAATTTATGTGTAAACACAAAGGACTGAATAGTCAAAAATATCCTGAGAAAAAAAGAATAAAGCTGGAAACATCACACTTCCTGATTTCAAGCTATACTATAAAGTTTAAGTCATCAAAACAGTATGGTTCTACCACAAAAACAAACACACCAATGGAACAGAACAGAAAGCCTAAAAATAAACCCAAGCACAATTCAACTAATTATGCCAATTAATATTTGACAAGGGAGCCAGGGGAATTCCTGATGGAATAGTGCTGGGATAATTGGATATTCACCTACAAAAGAATGAAATTATCCCCTATCTTATACCTTTCACAAAAATGAACTCAAAATAGATTAAAGACTTAAATGTATGACTTCAAACCATTAAACTCCTATAAGAAAATACAGGAATAAAGCTCTGTGACATGGGTCATAGTACTGATTTTTTGGATATGACACTCAAAGCACAAGCAAAAATAAAAAAGAGACAAGTAGAACTACATGAAACTAAAAATGTGGGGCACCTGCCTGGCTCAATCAGTTGAGCATCTGTCTGCCTTTGGCTCAGGTCATGATCCCAGAGTCCTGGGATCAAGCCCCATGTTGGGCTCTCCCTTTGCTACTCCCCCTACTTGTGCTCTCTTGCTCTCTCTGTCAAATAAATAAAGAAATTTAAAATAAAAATAAAAATCTGCATAGAAACCATTAACAAAGTGCAAAGACAACCGACAGAATAGGAAAAAATATTTGGAAGCCATAGATCTGATAAGGGGTTAATATTCATAATATATAAAGAACTCCTACAACTCAACAGCAAAAAAACAACCCAAATAAAAAATTGGTAGAAGACCTGAACAGACATTTCTCCAAAGAAGATATACGAAAGGGCAATCGGTACATGAAAAGACACTCAGCATCACCTGTCATAGGAAGAATGTTAATTAAAACCATAATGAGATATCGCCTCATGCCTGTGAGAATGGCCATGATCAAAAAGATTAACAAATGTTTGTTTGCATATGGAGAAAAGGGAACCCTTATGCACTGTTGGTGAAATTGTAAAGTGCTATAGCCACTATGAAAAAGATGGAAGATCCTAAAAAAATTAAAAATAAAACTACTGTATGATCCAGGAATTCCACTTCTGGGAATACATCCAAATGAATCAAAAACACTATCTTAAAAAGGTATCTGCACCTCCTTGTTCACAGCAACATTATTTACAACAGCCAAGACATGGAAACAGGATTAAGTGTCCATCAATGGATGAATGGATAAAGAAGTTGTGGTATATACATGCAATGGACTATTATTCAGCCATAAAAAATGCAGAAATCCTACATTTGCAAGAACATAGGTATACCTTGAAGGCATTATGCTACATGAAATAAGAGAGATAAAGACAAATACTTATGATTTCACTTGTTTGTGGAATCGAAAAGACACAAACAAACAAAAAGACCAAACTCACAAAAAAAAAAGAGAGATAAGACTTGTGGTTACCAGAGGCAGAGGGTGGGGAGAGGGGAAATTGGAGGAAGGTGGTCAAAAGGTACAAACTTCTAGTTATAAAATACTAAGAACTAGGGATAATGTACATGACTATAGCCAACATTATTGTATGATATATAGGAAAGATGTGGAGAGAGTAAAGCCTATGAATTACCACAAGGAGAAAATTTTTTTCCTTCTTTTTTATCTATACAAAAAGAAGGATGTTAGATAAACCAATTGTGGAAATCACTTCACAATTTAGGTAAATCAAACCACTATGCTATATGCCTTAAACTTATACAGTAATGTGTATCAATGATTTCACAATAAAACTGGAAAAGATAAAAATGACAGAAATAGTAGACATAAATTGTCTAATTGCTTATTACTCCACGTTACATTAAGATAAAATATGGTGTGCACCTAAAAAAAAAGAAAAGAAGAAAAAGGGAAGAAAAAGAATCAAACACTCTGTGGTGGATCCTGATTGGAAGTATATACCACCCCTATGGATTACTTTCGGAAAAAAAAAGATCAAACCCAAATCTAATCAAGTGTTTAGATCTAACAGCAATTTCTAGGAAAAAAAAAAGGGACAGAGGAATATGTTAAACAATGTGTTAACTGTTACTTTAACAACTGAATTGCAAAGAAAAAGATGAGAAAACCAGGCAGAATCTATGGTAAAACAAAAACCTATCAATTTGTAATGCATGGAGATTATTTAGATCGTGATTTGATGACTTGTAAAAATATATACAAATATTCATGGCACAGGGCGCCTGGGTGGCTCAGTTGGTTAAGCGACTGCCTTCGGCTCAGGTCATGATCCTGGAGTCCCAGGATCGAGTCCCGCATCGGGCTCCCTGCTCAGCGGGGAGTCTGCTTCTCCCTCTGACCCTCCCCCCTCTCATGCTCTCTCTCTCTCTCTCTCATTCTCTCTCTCAAATAAATAAATAAATAAAATCTTTTAAAAAAATATTCATGGCACAGCATAGGAAATACAGTCAATGATATTTTAACAGTGTTATATGATGACAGAAGCTATGCTCGTGGTGAGCATTGCCTAAGATATGGAGAAGTTGAATCACTATGTTGTATGGCTGAAACTATTATAACACTGTGTCAACCATACTCAAAAAAATTAAAAAATATGTATATACATATATTCATGAAACATCTGAGGAAACATGAATACTAACTGAAAATGGGGTAACCTATTAAAGTTTCTTCAATGGTATTATAATGGTATGTAGTTATGTGTCTTAAAAAAGTATCCCTATCTTTTAGAGATATGAACTAAAATATTTATGGATGAGATGATATGACGTCTGAGATTTTCTTTAAGATAATTTGGGATGGGGTATATAGAGACTGGTCATGCGCTGGATGACAAATATTCTTTCCACTTTTATATGTTTAGATGCTTTAAAAGCTTAAAAATTTGCATTTAATATTTCCACTTGAAGAAATAACTCCAGCACAAATGACTAAATTAGTAAGTTCAATATACAAAAAACTTAAAAACAACTTGCCATTCAGATTTTAAAGTGAAGTTTGTTTCCAGGTATGTTTCCCTTCCAGGATCCCACTGACACATCATTTTCTTTCCTTCATTCACAATGCAACTCAAATTTTTAGGTTTTTCTGGAGGCACTAAAAGGGAAAAATGAGCCATTTTCAAAAAGCTTTATATCCACAAATAACATGCAATTTATATACTACCCAAGACTTATGCAATCTAAATTAGATGGGAAAAAAAAACAAACATGAGCAAAATGTATGGACATAATGAAATTCGACAAGTGACTAAAAAAATAATTTCTAAACTCGTACTTTTTAGATTAAGTAATATACATTTTCTATAACTGTCACTAACTAGCATGTTTCAAATTAATTTTCTACACAAAATCAACTTCATTTATAACTGGATAAGAATATTAACTGATTTCTCCATGAAGTGTATTTTAAAAAGTATTACTGCATGTTAGTAGAAGCCAAGTAAATGGAAACAAATGATTCACATATTTCTCTATTGTTTTCTGAAACTCCGCTGGAAGAAAAGCAAATACCAAAATTATGGTTTTGGGGATCCATCAATTTGACAATGCACTCTTGGATCATACTAAGTTTATTTACTCTGACATAGAAGGACTTTCTCCAGTATTCACTTTCTTCAGATAGTTTGTTCTATATGTGCATCTTTTCAGCAATTAAAGGATACTGAAAGTTACTATGAATACACTCACAAATTTCAATTCAACACTGCTTTTTTGCGGGTCTCATGTAAAAACAGTTTTCTAGAAAACTGAGAGATACTTGACTTTCAAGAAAGATATAAATCTTATGTTACTCTTCAAGCTTTTTGTATAGTAGTAATACAACAAATGGAATTCCACTTCAAACCTTTTTTAAAAACATGTCCAAAAGTCAATGAGCCAAAAAATAACTGCATTTCATGAAGCCCAACAGACATTACAAATGAAATTCAACAGTCATAACAAAGTTTGAAATAAGACAAAAACAAAACTTACAGCCTGAAATTATTCTGATTCCATAAACATTCTGATCAATCTGTCCAAATGTACGAATGTTGCAAGTGAGCTGAGTATTTAATAAAGATGTATCTGTAAACGTGACACTAGATGCTGTTCTATTTATGATGGTGTACTGTTCTTTAGGAACCGTAAGATGGTTTGTTTTCCAGAAAATGTAACTAGCATTTACGTGAAAATAATCCATACATTTTTCTTTTAGCACACAAACTGCAGTGAAATTAGAACCAAGTTGTAGAACTGGAGATTCAGGTTTGATATAACCACATGGATCTAGAAGTTCACCTGAAAAGGAACAAGAGAAAATATAAAAATGGACTGAATTATTCTAGCATAAAATGGTATTTCATATCAATGCAGTCCCTCAATCTTCACTAAAATATCTCTTGAAGACAGGGAAAAAGAATTACACAGTGAAAAATAATATGGCGAGAATTCAGTGCCTCAAAGTGTAAAGAAATATACAAACTATAAGGCTGATGAAAAAAACCTATGCAAGCTTCAGCCCTTTTTATAATATTCTAACTTCGCTTTAGGAAACACAGACTGCCTGCAGCATGATTCACACTTAATCCACCACCAATTCTGTTCCTCTATTCAGACCCAGGGTCTAAAACCCTCCAGCAAACAGGCAGTGGTAGGCTTTATCCCTCTCTAGTCCTGAATGGTGTTGGGGATGTGGATGGGGCCAGGGAAGATAGTATACATTGCTCATTTTATCAAAATTCAGACAACAAAGGAAATAGCAAGAGAGCAACAAAAAACATAACTAGAACAAGATGGTCAAATATTATTAGTTTTAACAATAAATGTATGGGATAAAATCCCATATTAAAAACAAAAAAATCAGCCTGTATAAAAAGTAACTATACCACAGCTGTATGCTTTAACTATCACCTAACTCCATGCTGATGATAACTAAATCCCTATCTCCAGCTCTAACTTCCTACTGTTTTCAATAACTTGCGAGACCTATCCATCTGAGATACTTCCTAAGTACTTTAAGATGAACATATCTAAAGGGCACCAGGCTGACCCAACTGGTTGAGCGTCTGACTCTTGGTTTGGGCTCAGGTTTTCATCTCATGGGTCCTAGGATCGAGCCCCACGTCAGGCTCTGTGCTCAGTGAATCTGCTTGAGATTCTCTCCCTCTGCCCTTCCCCCCAATCACCTGCTCTTTCTCTCAAATAAGTAAATCTTTAAAAAAAAAAAAGAACACATCTAAAACTTTATGCATCACAGTCCCTTTCAAACTTACTCTTATTTCTCTACTTCTGCTAACAGCACTATTTATATCCAGTTATCTAGGCCAGATACCTTGTAGTCATCTTCAACACCTCTTCCAACTTCACAATATTGCACTGTGTCTTGTTGGTTCTGTATTCTTAATATGTCTATCAACCTCTTTCTCACCAGCCCTTTTTGCCTGCTGAAGCTCAGGCCATTATACTGCAGTCTGACCTCCTTCCAGTTTATCCTTTATGTTGCTATCAGAGTTACTGTTCAAAATGATCAGGCCATTTCCGTATTTTAAATTATTTAATGGCTGCCTACACCATCAAGATAAAATCCTAATTACTTGGCTTGATTCACTAGCCTCATTGCCCAGAAACATAAGGCAACTTTCCCTAGTGAATCCTTTTGCCAATGGGCTCTTGGGTGGCAACCCATCCTAAATGAAGTTCAGTTTTTTCACTTGGAAAATGAAGTTAATAAAACCTATCTTTTTTTTTAAGATTTTATTTATTTATTTGACAGAGAGAGAGGAAGTACAAGCAGGGGGAATGGCAGGCAGAGGGAGAAGCAGACTCCCCGCTGGACAGGGAGCCTGATGTGGGACTCAATCACAGGACCCTGAGATCATGAACTGAGCCGAAGGCAGACACTTAACCAACTGAGCCACCCAGGCGCCCATAATAAAAGCTATCTTGAAGAGTTTTTGAGATTAAAAATTACTTATATAAAGCACCTATTACAACGCCCGATATTCAATAGTCCACCAATAACAAATGGTAGCCTATCATAATTATTATTACTCTCCAAAGAATATCAAGTCACACTGATAGGGTCTGGAAGACTCTCAAAGTCAGCAGGAAGCAAAAAGTTTTTTGCAGTTAAAACTATACTCCCAAATGGAATCCTGGAACCTCATAAAATCTATAATGCCCCGAGTAGGAATGTGTATTTCTTTGTTTCAAAACTTACAAGGTGGGCTCTTTATATGACCTTGCTATTATAAATAGCTACAGTAAATCCCAGTGCACATATTACTCCACACTTCCATATGTATGGAACTTCATCTTGCGGGATACTAGTAAGTTACCCTGTGATACTGGGCCAGTCCTTACAACTCCCTAGACCTCACTTTATTTCCTTGGTAAAATCGCTCCTGTTTTACTTACTTTCTCTAAAGTAATAAGGAACAGTAAATATGAAATATATATATATACTTCATATATATATACTATATAAAGTATACTTATACTTTAATATACTTCATAACTAAAGAGTTATAAAATATAGAGTACTAAAGAACATAAGACATTAACTACAGACTCAGTATTAATAATTTTTAATCACACAGAGTAAGATAGATACTAGAAACGAGCAAATGTTCCAAAGTGAAACGTAGGCTCATTAAAATCTTCCCATGCCAAATTAATCCCATTTTTACAGGGCTACTAAGCTATTTGAGATTAAATTGTAGAAAGAGAACATTTTAATTTTAAAAAGGTATTTGATAAACTTAGTTGGGATCATGTAGACAAGATGAAGATATACGGATTAGAATATACCATAACAGGTAACAGCTTAACATTACAAAACTGCTGATACCCGGCTGTTCTTGACCTACAAAAACAGAAATTTAATAGGTTCAAAAAAAGAGATTCTTAATTGGTTTATTACTCGGGGCGCCTGGGTGGCTAAGTTGTTAAGTGTCTGCCTTCGGCTCAGGTCATGGTCCCAGGGTCCTGGGATTGAGCCCCGCATTGGGCTCCCTGCTCCGCGGGAGGCCTGCTTCTCCCTCTCCCACTCCCCCTGCTTGTGTTCCCTCTCTCGCTGTGTCTCTGTCAAATGAATAAACAAAATCTTTAAAAAAAAAAAACTGGTTGATTACTCATATATAAAAAATACTACAAAAAAAAGTCAGCGAGAGAGGTCTAAGTAGAGTATGCTGGTACCTGCTTTCAATCCTTGCAGCAGACAGTATTTTCCAAACATGGTCACACCTATATATTTATCCTATCCCATATGCTTTTCTTACAATGTGACTGGTACTCCTTCCACAAAGAAATGGGGTCAACATTCCCCTCCTGCCCTCAGATGTGTGTGGGTGCTTATGTCTGCCCCAGCCAATGGAGTGTGCTATGTGACTATCTAGACTGTTAAAACAACACAACTTTCGACTAGTGTTCTTTTTCTCTTGGGACATTTGTCCTTGGAACCCAGTCACATGTTGCAGGGAAGCCAAGGCCACATGGGGAAACCACATGTGCTGTTCTGGCCAACAAGCCTAGCAAAGCCCTCAGCCTACAGCCAGCATCAACACCAGACATATAAATGAATGTGCCTTCGGATGATTCTAGTCCCCAGTCTTTGAATATTCCAGGTAACGCCCCAGACATCACAGAGCAAAGATGGAATAGTCTAGCTATGCCCAACTTTATTCCTGACACACACACAAACTGTAAGAAATAATAATTACTGTCATTTCAAGCCATGAAGTTTTAGAGTAATTTGTGAGGCAGCAATAACATACTTCTGTTATTTTGAACATTTTTTTTCAATAATTTGGCAGAAAACAGACACACACAAACACATACAAAATTAGCAAAGGACAAGACTATGAAGGATTGCCAACACTTTGGATGTTAGTATTAGAATTAAAATTACTTTAAAAGATTAGACCAAAAGGCCAAAACTAATATAATGAAATTTGCTAGAGAAGAACATATCGCTCATTTAGGCTGAGATTAAATAAATATAGGGTAAGGCAGAAGTGGATTAAAAGTAATTCATGTGAAAACCTAAGAATTTTCACTGACCAGTAGCTTAACAAGAAACTATGGTCTATCTTAGCTGGCAAAAAACTATGCTGACTGAGTAAGAATGATGTTCAGATCAAAGTAAGTAATAAAATGACTATACTTAGACCATGTCCAGTTCTGGTACATTAATTTTTTTTCTTAAGTGCATTTTTATTAGAACCTCAATGATAATTCTATAATTACTATCCTTTTTATAATGTTTACTGTGGGCCAGGCATTGTCCAGATGCCTTGTGTATAGTAACTCATTTAATCCTCACAATACCCCTAGGAGTCAGGAATCATTATAATCTCCATCTTATAGATCAAGAAACTGATACAGATCAAGCAAATGGCCTAAGTCCATAGCTGGTAAGTGCAAGAGGTGTGATGGTCTAGTATTTCAAATGTGCTATGGGCAACCAAGAGAAGAATCAGGAGGGTAATCAGCATGTACAGGGTTAGAAGCCAAGTCCTATAAAGAAAAATGAGGACAACTGGGTAAGTTTAGTTTGGGCAAGAGAGGCCTTAGAGACACATGAAAGCAGTCCTTCAATATTTTCCAAGAGTTGAACAGTGGGAAGAGAAAGTAGGATTACTCTAGAACTAGGGATAATGGGAAAAAGCAACAAGAAGGAAAATTTGGGCTCAAGAATAAGGGAAGATTTTCTAAACAACAATTTCCAAAATAAGTTTTATGTCACTGGAAGTGTTCAAAAAGAAGTCGCATTCCTAGATTTAGAAAGGGGATGATTTACAGCAGTGCTTCTCAAACTATCTGTGGTGAAAGATCAGTTTGGTTTTTTACCCCCAATCTTTCACAGACTTACACTTTTGCTCTATACCATGTTTAATTAGTTAAGTCCAGTGATCACATGCTTGGATGTCACGGCTATGTCAAACTAAGAGTTTCTAAACATATATTCTTAATTTCTGTACTTCTCTCACTGTGAATTAATAACAACCAGTTCTCAGACAGGCATCAGGCTGTGGACCAGTTTGAGCAGTACTGCTCCAGACCTCTTTATTCTGGTATCACGATCACACTGCTGTTCAGTGACACCTTTGGCTATTAAAAAGTGAAGTGCTAAAAGTTAACCGATTTTCTCCTATGTATTAAAAAAATGCCCAAAAAACCAATAACATATTTCCGCCCCCCCCACCTTAAAGTTATTGTTAGTATACCTAAACAGCATTTAGGATTACTGGGTGACTGTTTCTACTCAAACTGTAATTTATCAGGAGTATTTTTACATTTCAAAATCATTTTTAGGTTAGGACAGCATTATTCTCTCAATAGTGAGCCTAAAAAAAATAAAAACATTAACATAATTACATAATTATGAAGCCGCTTAATTATATAATTATACAAAAATATATAAACCTGATTTGTGAGATTGGGAGGTAGGGTATTTTCATGAACCTTACCTACAGATTCAGTGGTGAAGAAAATAAACAATGCGTGCACTATCCAAGTCTGCAATGCCAACATCTTGCATTAGATATTTCTGTAAAAGACACATATAGTATTATTTTTATTATTTTTCCTCTTATTACACATAGTAAGTGAAGACACAATTCCTAATGCTCTTGTTTCCACTGGATAGCTGTCTTCTAAAAGGTGGTAAAATTTTATGAGAATGCAGAAAACAAATTTAAATCTTCAGAATATTTTTCTTTATTCCCACTGGAGTTATGGTTACGTAAAATAGTAATGGAACACAACTTATTAATTAAAAGAGCAATCCTGTTTCTTTATTATGTCAAGACTTAAACACTATTAGTAAATACTGTGTGAGACAGTACTTCAGAGAGACAAATTTTTACATGGCAAAACCCACCAAAAGCAACCTCAAAAGATATTTGCCAAAATGGAAAAAAAAGTTTCTAATTCATACCATGACCAAAAATATCCCCTGCTATATGAAGAATGTCTACAGATCACTAAAAAATTCCAACACCTAGTAGAAAAACTAGCAAGGTGAGCTGAATAGGCAATTTATAGAAAAGAATATACAAATTATTTAAAACATATGAAATGATACTTTCAACCTCACTCATAAAGAGAGGTGCAAATTAAACTACCCCAGAAAGGAATGCAAGATGATACAGACACTTTGGAAAACAATTTGGCAGTTCTTTACCAAGTTAAATGTACATAATAATCCGTATTTCCACTCCTAAGAATGTATCCAAGAGAACTAAAAATACACGTCCACATGAAGACTTATACTCAAATGTTCATAGCAGCTTTATTCGTAACAGTCCCAAACTAAAAACAACCCAAATGTCTATCAACTGGAGAATGGATAAACAAATACCCAAACAATGGTATATCCATACAATAGAATACCATTCACCAATAAAAGGGAATGAATTAGTGATACGTGCAATAGCATGAATGAGAATGAATCTCAAAAGCATTACGCTGAATAAAGGAAGACACACAAAACAGGCTATGTACTGCTGAATTCCATTTACAGGGTATTTGACAAATGGCACAACCAGGGTGACAGAAAGCAGATCAGGGGGCTGGCTTGGGCTGAAGTGGAAAAGGGGAATAAATGTAAAGAGGCACAAAAGAACTTTCAGGGGTGACAGGAATGTTCCATGACCTGATTGGGGTAGTGATAAAACTCTATATATAATTTGTCAAAATTCACTGAATTGTATCAAGAATTATGAAAGCACTGAGACTTTACCCTACTTGCAAGCGAACAAGTTAGCCTGCTAGTTCCATGGATACTGGCAGAAGACACGAGACTCCTGTGTCAGAGACAAAGGACCTTGTTACTCATACCAGGAGCAGCGTTCTCAGAGTATCAGCATTTTCTTGCGCCAGCTGCCTGGGCCCCAATTCCGACAGAGCACTGTGAAGAGGGACTGGTAACGCCTGTACACACAGTGGGTCATGTTATAGGAGGGGAAGACTGAGCTTAAGAGACCCAGATCTTTTAAAATGGCAGTAAGCATGCCTGCCTTTTACTCTGGAGAGAGACACTATTTTCCAAGGCTGTAAACAAACCTTCAAGAGACATGTGGGGAATTGTTTCCTAACAAACTGTACACTAAAAATTGATGAATTTTATTCTTTATAAATTAGACCTCAATTAAAACCCAACAGAATCTACCCAGGCAAGGTAGTCAAAAGAAATGAGTGCTTCACTCCTCTAAAAGACATGTACAAGAATGTTCATACAAGTTTTATTTAAGTACTGAAAAGTAGAAGCAACCAAAAACACAAACACAGTAGAACAGAAAAATTCAAGTAACTCAATCATAGCAATGAAAAAAGAATTACACGTACTGACAATATGACTGAATTTCCTATATAACAGAGAAGAAATGAGATACAAAAATGTATATGAAGTTCAAAATCAGGCAAATGTAATCTGTGGTGATAGAGAACAGTGGTTATCCTTTTTGGGGGGTGGGGAAGAGGGCAGAAGTGAGCATTCTGGGATGCTGGACATGCTCTATACTTTGAACTAGATGGTGATTAAAAATTCACTGAGCTATAAATTTGTGATCTGTGGACTTTATTGTATGTAAGTTGTACTTAGTAAAAACAGTAAACAAACAAAACAAAACGACCCCAGTATCATTTCCAGTTTTGGCAAAAATATAAAAAATAAAAAATTATCAACACAGTATTTTGAGACTATGACATAAAGGCATTCTCAACTCTGCACTTATAGTCTAAAATGGCATAAGCTTCCCAACAAACTGGGAATTTAAAACTGAATTTTACTGTTTGTAAATTAGAGCTCAATTATAAATAAAACAACTATGCAGATAAGGTGTATGCCCAGTTTTGCATTATCGATCAAAATTTAAATATCTATATGTTTGAATCTAATGATTCTACTTCTAGTATTTTATCCTATAGATATGAGCAAAACAATACATATATGGTTATTCACTATAGCAGTTTTTAATAATAAAAGGTTGATGCACAAATAGGGGACTAGTTAAATTATGGTACATCCAAATATAGCATACAAGTAGCTACAAAAAAAATGAGGAAGCTCTAGATCTCTACCTAGAGATGTGTAATGATATCTAAAATACATAAAATAAAAAAATAAAATATTGTTAAGTAGAGAACAGTGTATTTGTTATTTGTGGGGAGAAACCAAAAAAAGACAAAACACACACTCATTTCCTTATATATGCATAAAATACCTCTAGAAGGATAAAAACTCAAACACTGGCTGCCACTGGATGAGATACCAGGGTAGGAAGGAGATGCTCTACCATATACTCTTTGCACCTTTCCAATGTTGTACCATGTGACTTCAGTACTTAGTCAAAAACTAAATTTAAATTAAAAAATATTTGTGTAAACTCTCTCCCAAGTAAAACTATCAACTTCTTGATGAGGGCTTCACAGTACTCCATTTGGAATACACTGTTTTTTTATTAAATATCAATACTAACTTGACTTTATGTACTCCCTACCCATGTAACAGTCACCCTATAATTTGCTCAGGATAAAAGAATGAAGTTGTAGGAACCATTTTCCTCCACCTGTTTTATTTACTTCCTAACTTCAAATAGTCCCATATTAGAAAAATCCACATCATTCAACTGTTCATCAAAACAAAATGAAGAAAATATCTGAGCATGCTGGGAGAGCAGTTATGTGGTCATGCCACCCTGACCACCCACACCAAGTACCTTGTTCACACTGTAGAGAGGATTCTCTATAGTTCCTGGAAACTGGCAATCTTTTCATTGATGCACTATATTCTTAGAACAAAACTCTGACACAAGAGGTCCCATAAAGGTATTTATAGTTACCACAAAGCAGTTAGATTTACCTAAGCAGGGCCATGAAACACAGTATGTAAAAGGAAAACAGGCAAAGAAGGTTTCACATTTTAACAGTTAGAAAGTAACGTTTCCTGGGACGCCTAGGTGGCTCCATCAGTTAAGCATCAAGCACCTGCCTTCAGCTCAGGTCATGATCCCAGGGTCCTGGGATTGAGCCCTGAGTCAGGCTCCCTGCTCAGCGGGGAGGCTACTTTTCCCTCTCCCTACGCCCCTCCCCTGCTTGTGTGCACGCTCTCTCAAATAAATAAAATCTTAAAAAAAAAAAAAAGTAACGTTTCCTAATTTTTAAAGGATTGTCATTGAGCTGTGATGAAGAAACATCTTTTCAAAGTCCCAACCTAAGAGACGGAACACAGTAGCACTACCTAAAATATTAAATGCAATATAGTCAACTTCATTTTGGGGCTTATCTTGTTTTAAAGTGGACAAAATTGACAGTATAGTGCATACTGTTCCTCTCTTTTCATTTTGACAACAGTACACATTATCCTCCCGCATCTCTTGCAGAATTTTCCATGCATAACCACATATTGCATACAATGATTTTCCTTGAAATTTGCATCTTATTTTGGAAGATTCTATGAAACCAAAACATTAACTACTAAGCAGAGATACAGGGAAGGTTTATTCCAAGCACTGAGTGGTCCTTCTAGAGTGGCAACTCCTCAACTATGGTGGTTCAAACACGGTAATATGCTGAAAGGTGCTGTAAGATGCATCACAACTAATTCACTATTGTTAAAGTAATAAAGTTTACAAATGATTTTTAAAAATTAAAACAAATCAAGATTATCCCTATAGTTGATCACTCTTATTCATTTTCATTCCCATGAATTTTCTTAAGTGGGAGAAAATGCACTGGAGTTATAACTGATAAATATTTAATAGTTTTGCCCTTCATAAATTCTTTTTGTTACTTATAGATTATGATTTTTGAGTCTTTCTTTTTACTTTGATGCAAGGACAAAATGAAAAAGCATGAGTAATATATTTAGATATAGATTTCATGGGAGGAAGAATGTCAATATAAACTTAGTTACTATGGTAACATTACTCCTATAATTGTAGAACTACTAGTAGATGAACTACAATTGCCAAAAAGAAGGCAAAGTAATGTTTTTGAATAAATAAGCTGGGTAGGGAACAGGATGAGGAAAATTTCAATATGGTATCATGTATACACATTACAGTGTTAGTTTGAATAAATCTGCAAAGAGTTAGTCATACCTATATTAACTAATTATTATTTTAAAAATTATCCAACTCTGCTCTATTATTACTAATTATTAATTCAAAGTAACACTTGTATACTATTTTACATTACACAAGTGCTTTTATGTAAATTACTCCATCTGATTCTCCTAATATCCTAGAGAAGGAGGCTGGTAAGGCAGGAATCATTATTTTATTATTTTAAGAGTTTATATTTTTAGAACAGCTTCAGGCTTAAAATGAAATTGAGAGGAAGATACAGAGAATTCCCACATACCCTCTACCCCCACATGCACAGCCTCTCCTATTATCAGTATCACTCACCAGAACAGTATATTTTACCACAGATGAACCTACATTGACACACTTTAACCACCCTAAGTCTGTAGTTTACCTTAGGGTCCACTCATGGTGTTGTACATCCAGTGGTTTTCGAATGGCAAGGATTAATTACTGGAACTTCACAAAAGAAAAATTCTGACAGGTTAAGTTACTTACCCAAATCACAAAATTAGGAAGTGAAGAAACAGGGACTTGAAACTAAGTCTTCTGCCTCTAAAAGTCATGCTCTTTTCATTAGGTCTCACTATAAAGAGAGGAGAGCCTTGTTCAGAAAGCTGGCTTTGATAATAATATGCATTCTTAAATCCTTGCCTGCTGTAAGCCTTCCTGAAAGTATCCCGTTTTAGATACCTTCTGACCCTCAGTATAAAACAATCCCATAAACACTCGTATAACAATATTTAAACATCCCACTGTTGTTTTGAAAAAATACTTGGAAACATTATCAGCTCCTCCATGCCTACTTTAAACTTCCCTGATGTTCATTTAATATCACAGAAACATGAAAGGGACATTTTGTTGAATCTGACAAAAGCAGCTAAAGCAAATCTTTAAGAGAATCATACCTTTTACCTTTCACTAGCAGTTAAAGCTACTGACTCTTCAACTGCCATACTATTTTATGCACACAGACATAAAAATTCAGTTTATATTTCAGTACTAGGTTAAATTCTAGTGTAAGTAATGGTGGTTCCTCTTTGAAATGTAAATGATAACTTCAAACTTAGGCAAGGAGTTCAATCCTCCATTACTGTTTCACACATATTAAGCCTTTGATATAATTTAATATATAAGAAATTAAATTTACAATGATATATTAAAATGCCAAAGAAATATTTTTAAGTTTTCAAATGAAGAGAAGTTGAAAATACATCATGTAGAAGCCCCCTACAATCCCACCAAGGTAACTAATGTGAACAATTTGGTGAATACTTTTGCAAAATTTTCTATTTATATATTACAACATTGTATAAATATATACTTTTACAAAAATGGGATCACAAAAATGTGCTGTAACTTGTTTTCACTTACTACATTTGGATATATTTCTAAGTCAATACATAAAAATTAATTCTACTGATAGCATTTTTTCAAATTCACTTTCTCATACAGGTCTTCCCTGACCACCCAGTATTGCTTATCCCCCTTTCCTATTTTTTCTCAGTGGCACTTACCACTTTCTAAAATGACTTGGCAAACATTTCTTGTAAAGGGCCAGATAATAAATATTTTAAGTTTTGTGGCTATTAAGGTCTCTGTTGCAACTAGGCGACTTTGTTATAGATAGTATGTAAACAAATGGGCATGGCTGAATTCTAATAAAACTATTTATTAAAATAGGATGCATGCTAGATTTGGTCTGCAGACCATAGTTTGCCAACCCCTGTTCTAAAATAGTTTACTTATTTTATTGGCTGTCATAGGTTGAATTGAGTTTTCCTCCCTAAAGATATGTTGATGTCCTAACCCTCAGTATCTCATAATGTGACCCTGTTTGGAAATAGGGCTGTGGCTGATGTAATTAGTTAAGATGTCATAAAGGAGCAGAGTGGGCCCTTGATACAGTATGACTGGTTGTTGTTATGAAACAGAAACAAACAGGCACAATGCTGTGTGACAACACAAGCAGGCACTGGAGTGATGTAGCTATAAGCTAAGAAATGCCAAGGACTAACTAAGGGCTACCGCCAGGAGCTATGGAAAGGAATGATTCTATCCAGAGTTTCAGAAGGACTTCTGGCCTCCAGAACCTTAAGAGAATATACTCCTGTTATTTTAAGTCACCCAGTTTGTGGCACTTTGTTACAGCGGCCCTGAGAAACTAACACATTGTCTGTGCACCTAAAATAGAATGTTAGCAAATTAGGCAAGAAATTTTGTCTGTTTTGTTCCCTCCTATCTTCCTACCATCAAGAATCACACCCAGCATAGTAAGCACCTCAGTATCTTTGTTGAATAGATAAACTTTCTTGATGTAAGCAGGTGCATAACATATTAGTGGAATAAATATACTGTAATATAACTAGTCCCAAGTCTTTGTATGGGCATAAGCTTTCATTTCTCTTGGGAAAATACCTAGTAGACTAGCTAGGTCATATCTATGGTAGGTATATATTCATATTCTTCTTTGGTGATGTGTCTGTTCAAATATTTTGCTCGTTTTTAAACTGGGTGTGTTGTTTTCTCAATATTGTTTAGAAAGTTTTAAAAAATAAAATTCTATATACAATTCTATATTTCTTTATTAGAAATTCCTTTTTTAAGTATTTTCTCCCAATCTGTGGCTTATCTTCCCATTCTTTTACTGTGCTTTTTAAAGAGCAGAAATTTTCATTTTAATCGAGTCCAATTTATTAACTAGTACTTCTGGTATTGTATCTAAGAAATCCTTGCCTAACCCAAAGTCTCAAAGGTCTTCTATATTTTCTAGCTAAAAGTTTTATAGTTTTAGGTTTTATATTTAGGTCTATCAACTATTTTGAGATAATTTTTATATATGGTGTAAAGCAGGTATTCAAGTTCATTTTGTTACATATGGGTAGCGAATTGTTTCTGAACTATTTGTAGAAAAACTACCCTTTCTCAAGTGAATTGCCTTTACACTTTCATCAAAAATCAGTTATCCATATATGTGTGGGTCTATTTATGTCCTCTCTATTCCATGGTCGGGCAAACTTTTTATGTAAAGGTCCAGAGAATAAATGTTTTAGGCTTTGTAGACCACAGTGTTTCTGTTGGAACTACACCATCTGCTGTTGTAGCACAAAAGCAACCATAGATAATATATAAACAAACGGGTGTCGCTGTGTCCTAACAATACTTTACAAAAATAGGAGGCACCCTGGATTTTACCTGTGAGCTCTAATTACCCAATTTCTGCTCTATTCTGTTCCATTGATCTATTTACTTTTAAGTATTGAAATCAGTGTTCTGTGTGTAGTTAAAAACCATGGCTACTGCTGGATGGAGTTTTATATAAATGTCAATCAGGCCAATCTGGTTAATAGTGTTATTCAAATCTTCTATATCTTTAGTCATTTTCTGTCTATTTCCTCTATCAATTACTGAAAAGGGGGTTTGATATCCCCAAATATAACTGTAGCTTTATTTATTTCTTCTTGCAGTTCTTTAGATTTTGCCCTATTTTGAAGCTACATTATTAGGCACATAAATCTAAGGTCTCAATGAAGTGACTCTTATATCATTGTGCAATGACTTTCTTTACCAATGGTCATATTCTTGGCTCTGAAATCTTTGACATCATTATAGACATCTAATCTTCTCTTCCATTAGAGTTATCACGGTATATCTTTCCCCATTCTTTTATATTTTACCTATTTCTTTCTTCATATTTTAAGAGCTTTGTTTTTTGTTATGTTTTGTTTTGGTAGGTAGCGTACAGTTTTATCTAATCTGACAACCTCTGCTTTCAGGCCACTTATATTTAATATCATTCTTGATATAGTTAGGTTTAAAGCTATCATCTTTATATTTGTTTTCTACCTATTTGATCTCTGTTCTCTCTCTTCTTCTATTTCTGTCATTTGTGTTAAGTGAATATTTTTTATGATTTCCATTTTGTCTTTCTTTTTGGCTTATAAGCTATTAATTCTTTGTTTTGTTATCTTAGTGACTACTCTAAGATTTATAGTATACATCTTAAACTTATCAGTCTACAGCACCTCATGCACAGTAAAGTATACTAGAGTACACATCCATTTCTCCCCTCTGGATCTTTACGCTATTTTTGGCATACAACTTACTTTTACATATCTTATAAACTTCAGATGTACCTTATATATGTTGTAAACCATACTGTCATTGTTTTTGTTTAAATGATTTTTTTTTAAGATTTTATTTATTTGAGAGAGAGACTGAGAGAGAGCACGAGAGGGAAGAGGGTCAGAGGGAGAAGCAGACTCCCTGCTGGGCAGGGAGCCCGATGTGGGACTCGATCCCGGGACTCCAGGATCATGACCTGAGCCGAAGGCAGTCGCTTAACCAACTGAGCCACCCAGGCGCCCCTAAATGATTATTTTAAAAGAGATTTCAATAATACAAATATCTTGTGTATACATCCATGTCTACTACCATTTCCAGAGCTTCTCACCCTATGTCTAAGGTCTACATTTTCATCTAATATTTTCCTTCTGTCTGAAGGATTATTATTTTATTATTATTTGTACTGTGGGTCTGCTGGTGATGGATTCTTTAAGTTTCTATATACCTAAAAATATTTCATTATTATTTTTCATAGATATTTTCACTAGATATAGATTCTCAATCAATAAATTTTTCTTTCAGTACTTTAAAAATGTAGCTATTAAGTTCTTGCATGCACTGTTTCTAATGAGAGATCTACTATCATCCTTATCTTTCTTCTTTTGTATGAAAAGTCTCTTTTCTCCTCTGGATGCATATAAGTTTTTTATAACTAGTTTATCACTAATTTTGAGCAATCTGACTGTAATGCACCTTGGTAAAGTTTTCGTCATGTTTCTGGTGCTTAAGAGTTTGTTGAACTTCTAGATCTGCTAGTTTCAATAGTTTTCATCAAATCTAGAAAAATTGTGGCCATTATTTCTTTGAGTATATTTATCTCTGACCCTCCTGCTCCTACCCTTGAGGATCTAATAACATGTATTATTAGGATGCTTGAAGTAGTCCCCCAGCTCACTGAAGCTCACTCCACTTTTTCCTTTTTTTCTCTGTTTTATAATTTCTACTGCTGTGTCTTTAGGTTTACTGATCTTTTTGTCTGCATGTCTAATCTGCCATGAATCCTAACTTGTGTATTTTTCATTTCACACATATTTATCATCTCTAGATGTTTAATTGGGTCTTTTTCATATATTCTATAATTCTACCTAACTTTTTGAACATATAGGACACAGTTATAATAACTTATAATTTCTTTGGTAATTCTAACATCTATGTCAGCTCTGGGTTAGTTTTAATTAATTTTTCTCCTTATTATACATTGTACTTTCAAGCCTCTTACATGCCTAATAATTTCTGATTGGTTGTTGCACACTGAATTTCACCTTATTTGCTACTGCATCTGTACTGGATTTTTTTCTATTTCTATAATCTTTTCTTTTTAAAGATCAATTGGGCCACCCAAACGCCCCTGTATTTCTATACTCTTGAACTTTGTTCCAGGACACAGTTAAGTTACTTGGAAACAGTATGGTCCTTTCAGGTCTTGTTTTTTTAAGATTTTATTTATTTATTTGAGAAAGA